CTGATTAGAATTAACCTTTTCAGAAAACAAAATCTAAAAATATGACCTAACTAATGATATGCAAATTGCTTCACTTGATAATAAAATTATATTTGAAGTCATGTAAAGTTGAGATGTCCTTTTAGTAAAGGTCTATCTTGGTTAAGAATGTGGTACCCAGTCAGGGAAGAACCCTTTCCAACTCAGATGGGATTGTGTGAGCTAAAGGTGCTAAGTGATACAATTTTTAAGGCTAATGAAATATAAGAGAAATCAAATGCTCATAGAATAGTTTATAAACAATCATTGGTCTTTATCTTTGAACACATTATAACATCCTGTCAGGTTACACTCTTGGTTGGCCTCAGCCTTAAAATCCCACACATGTTATACTATAAAAAAGAAACGATGAAGAAGAAATGTCTAGCAAAACACCAACTGAAAGACAAAGAATTTTGCCTTACTTCAAAGCATGAGATATTCCTGATTTTTCTTTTATATTGATGGAGATGAATCACCTAAGTTATAGAATATTATAGTTTGCCAAAATAGTTCGCACAATTCAAGTTCTTTTTCCCTTAGAAAATAATAAGTATAAGTTAAAGTCTGGCCAATATCTAGTTCTAAACAGAAGCTTGGGAGCTTGTGGCTTACACTGATGTTACTCAATCTCATGGCTCCTGTCAATGAACCAGTCAAGTATTACATGTGATTGGGATTCAGTATGTTGTTATTCATTGATTGATAACAAAGTATCGCAATGAGAATCAGAAATCATCACAGAAATTCTACCATTTCCTGAAGTGACTGCATAGATCATATTTATGCATGTGCTGTAATTCCTGAGTAGGCAACCTTCAATTTTGTTTGTTTGTTCTGACTCAGAAATAAAACTAATGACCTCAGGCTTGCCATGTAGGCGCTGTACCACTGAGCTATATCCCCGCCCCCACCTTTGATTCTGATCCCATAACCAGAAATCCATACTCTCCCCATCTGTCTAATCACTTGAGGTGTTCTTCATTCCTTCTTCCTCATCTACTTTGTAGCCCGTTATTCTTCTTCTCAATTAATTTTTCACTTCTTGCATATTTTCTCATCTTCCTATAACTAAGACCCAATAATGATAATCATTCATATCACAAGCATTGCTTCAATGAATTTTTGAGATAACCAATGTATACACCTTTAAAAGCGAAAATATATTTTTTAACTGTTTTAACCATTTGGGTTGGGAGTTTTTAAAATATGCCATGTTACTTCTTAACAGTGTGTACACCATCCAACTGAAAACATTCTTGATCATGCAGGCTTATTAATCTAAATGTCCCCTCAAGCACTTCTACGAAGTCTAGAATTCTTTTCCCTATACTACAGAGCCCCAGTTCACTGAATATTACCACTTCATTTTCTATCTCATTTTTATAGCTCTGCATTCCTCTTATTGCCAGGCAAAGCTTTTACTTTTTATTCCTATCATTATATCTAACTTTTCACCTCTTCCTCTTCTATTCTCTAATCTGCTATGGGCCAGATAGCCAGTTGGGCAAACTTGTGTGAACCATGTGTGAGAAAAGGTTTTCCTGATATAGGACCGCAGGTCTTTGAGTAAAGAAAGACCTAGGGTGTGTCCTTGGAATAAAGCCCATTGGATATACATGGTAACCATTTTAAGAGTTCAGAGATCCTACTTTACTTAATCCTGAACTTGGGTTCAAATAAGTGATAAATAAAGATACGAAGTTTGACATCTGAACATTTAGGTAATACTATCATTTGTATTAATAAAGAAACATTTAGGTAGCAACACATTGGTGCAGTTGTTATCATTTTGCATTTAAACTGTGATGATGAAACAGAAAAGAGGGAAAATCTTGGCTTTTGGAAGTTAGAGATCATCGCACAACTATAGCTTCCTCAGATCTATCTCCATGTGCTGCCTTTCATGTCACCACCTTTATCTTAGGACACTCATTTGCCATAAGCTAAGTGATTCAACACTACCATCACACACTCACACTGCAATTCTCCCTTTTAACTATACATCTCTTCAGTGTTTTTTTCTAATAACAGGAAGTATTATCTTTATTCAGTTATCATACATTCCTTTAAAGTAATATTGATTCAGTGCTTTTTTGCTTTCTCATTGTCAAAAATACAAACAATATATATATATGATACATATAAATAGTAAAAGGGTAATCACTGGGAAGCAAATTAATGGATCATCTCACAGTTGTTCATTTTTGTGGCAAAGGCAGCTCAAACCAATTAATTTAGCAAGAATCTTACACACAGTATAATCTTATTACCTATAATCTTCATGATGTACATTAGATCTCTTTTCAGTTTCTTAAGGTGAAATCTTTCTGTCATTAATGGCTCTTCCTTCAACTTCCCCTATTCAATCACACAATTGGTGTGTGTGGTCCATTCCAGGTCCAAGCAAGATGTATTTTACCTTCTTTTCAGTTGAGACTGCCAGAATTCTAATTTATGGCTCTTGTAAATGTCTATTTTCCAAACATCCCTCTCACCTCCCTCTTCCCCTGCCTATCCCAAAAGTAATACAGTAGTGCCATATTCTGTCACTTCTGGGCTCACAATCCCTACTTCCTGAATGTTGCCATTGGACAGTTCTCAAAATGTTTCTTCTCTCTACTTGAATGCTATATTTTCACCTTTAGTTCCTTTTATAGCACTTCTTACCACCCACCTCCTCCTGTTCAATCTTTATATTGGCATCTTCCAGTTTTATATGCTCCATATAGTTTTGGTGACGCAATCAAAGAAATATGTCAGAAAACAGTACTCTTTTTTCTCGTGAGTCTACTCCAGGGCTCTGTCCCTGATCACACCTTAACATCTTCAAGTACTTCTTGAGAAATTTCCTTTCTAAGTGCCTTAGCATTTAGGGACTATACTCCTAACTTAATTTACTTAACTGTTTTCCTTCTTATATATTCCTCAAAGCCTCTAGAAAAAGAATTACCAGATACTTTGTTATCGTTCTCCACACCCCTTTCCCCAAACCTTTCCTCCCTCCTTGGGTTATAATCATCAGCTATTTGCAGGACTGAACTTCCAAACATCTAGTAAGGAGCTATATGCTGAGTTGAAAGAATCCTTTCCTCAACTGCACAACTCCTGGCTTTTTCTCACCAGTCCATCCTTCCACTTCTCCCACAGCTTTCCAATTTAGCCAGAAAATCCCCATGTTATAGTACATAGACTCGCTTCCCCTTCAAATTCTGAAAGCATGCTCTCTAAAATCTGGGCCTCCCTTAAGCTGGCTGCTGAACTGACTTCTGCAGGTCTCTTGAAAGAAAGGATCCATTTCTCACAGAGACAAACACCTATGGAAACAGAAACTCCTCTTGCTCCTTAGAGCCACAAACAGACCAACAATTTGCCATCCTTCTTTAAAGGCCTAGGTCTTCTGACTAGGCTTCCTCCCCAGCTCCTCATCTCCTGGTCCAGGTGGCCAAGCCATTTAACACACCTACTTTTCAGGGTTGCCCTCCTTATCTACAATATCCACTTCTACACTCACTTCGGCCACTCAGTTTCTAGACTCTGCCTCAGACTTTCTCATCACCAAGAAGTATTTCCCCTACAGCTAGCCTCCCTGCCTGCTTCTTGATGCTGTCCCCCAGTTAGCTGGCCCCATGACCCTAGGAAGCAACCCAGTTCTTCAGTCTTCCCCTTCTACCAGCTAAGTGGGCCCATTTTGGCTTCTTTTCCTTCCCTAAGCAGCTTGAACTCTGTGCTGATGCTCAGAATCTCTCCCTACCAGGCAACTTTGCCTGAAATTCCTGTACCAACTGACAACTTCCTGAGTAGCCTCTTACATCCTTTGACCTCATTCCCTGGCTATCATGCTCTGTGTCCTTGCAGTCCTAACTAAATCTCTTCTTAAACTAGCTTCATTCAACTACTCCTGGTTTGGCCTACCCAATTTTCCCTTCTGTATGAATGCAATAAAAACATTGTATTTCTATTATAATGTATGGCTTTAAATTGTTTTTAGATATTTGTGCAATGCTATTTACAAGACAGTTTCATATGAGGTAGAAGCTCAAGATAGTATTATAGTTGAAAGACAAATCGAGGCTCATGGAGGCTATGTACCTCACTCAAGCTCTCATATTTTCAAAGAGTACAATTGATAGGTCATAAAAATCAGAATATATTTTTGCTCAGCTGATCTGAGATTTCGGGCAATTATTTGGCATGTTAGATGTGAGAATGACATGTATGGGTGAACAATAAACACATTAATTAAAAAGAGACATTCAGAAGACTAGTATTAAAGGAAACCCTTGTAAAGGCAGGGGCCTCCTGTTGTTTTCTATCAGAGTTGGTCATCCCAGGAGCAAACTTCAGATTTCAACTCGTGGCTCAGAGAGAAAAGAAATCTAAATAAAGAGATCCACAGAAACTCTACACTGTAGAAGCTGCTTGGGTCCTCCATGCTGATCTTCACAAGCAAAATGCAAGAAATGGAGAGAATGATAGCACTGCAAGAGCAATGGAGCCCAGAGATGGTGACTCAAGGAAGAGGAAAGAGCGGTTTGGAACTCTGCCAGAAACTCCTTTCAAACTCATGTGCATTAAAGAGAGGCTGGTGTGTGACATGTTCCATTATGAACAAAATAAAACTGAGCCTCCGTTTTTCATCCTGCACCACCTAAATATGTATGACTTAATAAAGACAATCATTACATGTTGCATACTTGTACAAATAAATAAAATTTAAAAACAAAGACATTAAGTATAATCATGTACAAATCCTAATGGATATACAGAGAACAATAAAATTGAACAAAGATCCTAACTATATTTTTAACAAATTTATGAGGTGTTTGTAAAAAAATCAAAATATATTCTATAAACCTTTGTTTCTTGGATAAAAATTATTATTACATGTGTATTTGTACATTTCTCTAACAAATCTAATATTGCTATTTGCCTTTGAACTGCCCCCCAGAACTCAAATATTTAGCAAAATAATCTTTTACCTTATAGAAGATCAAGAAAAGATCATCCAGTTTCCCATGCAAATCACCTAGAAGGCAAGTTAAAAAAATCACTATCCAAAAGGAAGCAAAATGCAATGCCTAGTTTGTTACAGAATTTTAAATTTCCAATGAACTCCAAGAATTCGCAGGGCATTGGGTTTTTACCCTAAGATGGTATTAATTCAATAGGCAGTTTGCTTCCACAAGCAAACTTTTCTGCTGCTATAGTGGGGAAGGAATCTGGTATTGTAATTACCTGCTCCCTCCAGCCATTTATACAGGACTTCACTTACTCTGGGGCAAGTACTATGTTAAAAGTTGTAGGTGTGCTATTTTGTTTAATCCTTACACTTATAAGTATTATTTTCATCATTATCATTTTTAAAAGGATATTCAGAGTATTTAGGTAACTTACACAGTTGCTCAGATACTAAATAACAGACCTGGAATTCAAACAATGCTATCTCACTTCAAAATTGAAGCTCTTAAGGATTACTCTATACTACCTACACTGTAAGCCCTAGGAGAGGCACAGTAGGATCTATCACTGTCATCATTAAATCCTCAAAGGCCTCCCATAGTTCCAGTGATCAGTAGGCATTCAGAAACTACACACAATCAATAAGGTATAGCTGACATGTTTTAAAGAATATGCTCCAGTAATAGCATCAGAAAGAGTAAAGTTGTGAGTAGATAGTTGATATTCTTTAAACGAGAGTTATATAACATAAAAATTAATGCCAACTAAGGGAAACCATAAGGATATATGAAGCTGTTAATTAAAAAACAAGTGTAACTACAGCCAATATTCAAAAGCCCTATTTGGATAAACATTTCTAGGTAAAATATCTGTTTCATAAGCTCTGATCATAAATTTTTATTCTTCATATCTAACTTAATCACCATAGAATAGAATTTGGGAACACTTTTCCTCAGTCTTCTTAAAATTCAGAAGAAGAGTAATCAAATATATACAACAAAAGACTCCAGTTACAGTGGGAATAAAAAATTAAAATCCTTTATCAATAGTGCTTATTAATAAGATGACTATGATATTAACAATAAGATTAAGAGCATATTAATGTTAGTAAATGCCTAAATCTCATGTTTTCATAGATTTTACTCTAAAGGTAAGAAAATAAAGATGGAAAAACATTTTACTTATCACTTTATCTTATTTTGTTAATTACTTGATTTCCTTCAGAATGACTTGTTTTTTAAATATTTGGGTGTACAGGACTATAATGGCTGGTATGCTAAAAAATATAACTTCTTTCTGCATAGTAAGAATTGAGGATTCTGGGTTTGATTTTCGGCACAGAAAAAAAGGCACAGTTGAGGCTATAAAAATATTTGTAGTTTTTAATTGGATAGCAAAAGAAAAACATACCATGAGATGAGATAATAGTATTTCCATAGCAAGCACAAACATAGTTACAGAATTAGTTATTATTTACAATTTAACTATAGAGTAAAAATCTCCATATTTTATGCATGTTGAGAGTTATGGGAAATATTTAGATGTGTGCATAAAAATGTACTTTGAGAGTAAAATAAAACAAATATTTATCATAATGTCTCTCCCTTTACTAATACTTTCTTAAACAGAAGATGATGTTGGCAAAGTAGCCTAAACTTGTTCTATTTTGAATGATGAGAAAAATTTTCAATGACAATTAAAAACAGAAAACAATGATTCCTATGTTAAGGAAATTTTCATGATTTAAATCTAAAATATCCAACAAAAATCTCATGTGTGCCGAGATGGGGGCTTTTGGGAGGTGATTGGATCATGCAGGTACTGCACTTATCAGTGGATCAATTCATTGAGGAGTTCATAGATGAATGTGCTGTTAGGAGGTGGGGCCTCATAGGAAGAGGTGAGTCATGGGGCACATAACTTGCGAAGGTATGTTCTTGTCCCTAGCTCCTCTCTCTCTCCTCCTTCCTCTCTCCTCTCCTCTCTCCCTTCTCCTCTCCCTCCCTTCCCCTTCCACTCCTCTCTCTCTTTCTCTCTCTCTTTCTCCTCCATCCCTCCCTCTCTACTTCCTAGCTGTCACTTGGGTGAGTAGCTATCCTTTGCCATCCTTTCCACCATATCACTTCTGCCTTGGAGCCAGCTGACCATAGACTGACTCTTTTGAAAACATGAGCCAAAATAAACTTCTCCTCCTTTGAAAGTATCAAGTATTTTGTCCCAGAGACAGTAAAGCTGACTAATACAGCTGGTCTTGGCTTTTCTATTTACCAATGATGCTATGTGGAAAAATTCCGGAAATGTATGCTCATGGTGGGGAGTTGTAAATGCATGGAACTGTCCAATCCGCCCATTCCCTGCATTTTGTCTCATGATATAAAATGAAACATTAGCCATATAGATACATGATGAAAACTGGCAGAGCATATATAGATCTGCCTCTCACTAGGGATACATAGAGAGCCTGATTTCTAAATCTGATACTGCAACTACCTTGCTAATTGAGCTAGGAGCAGGAGTTATTACCCAGAAGAGCATGGAAGGCAATAAACTTTTTTCTCTGGGTCTCAGATTTACCCATAAGAGCCAGGGATAAGGCTAGGGATATATTTCAGTGGTACACTGCTTGCTTAGCATGCACAAGGCTCTGGGTTCAATCCCCAGCATCACAATAAATAAATAAATGGCAGGGGACAGACTAGACCCTGTCTGTAAGTTCTCACAATGGGATTCTAGGATTTCCATGCCTTCTAACTAATCCCTGTCTTTTCCAGATCTTTTTAGCCAAAGACAAGATAGAAATGACAATCGGAAGTATAATAGAAACACATGAGAGAAGATGCCACAGTTTGTTTTGACTGTTACACATACTCTAACAGCAAGCCATGTCCTAGATTCATAGATCTTGGAAGAACGGCTTTTTGAATCTCATAACTCAAAAATATTTATTTCCATGAGAAGTGAGGCCTGATAAGGCCTTTAATAATAAAAGGCCCACATGCTAAGTTGTATCATCCACTAGTCAGAGATGTGGTGGTTTGATTAGGTTGGAATTGAACCATTAGAGACTTTGAAAACCTGTGTCAGAGCCTATCATGAGGTATATATTGCTACATCAAGCCCCTGTCCCCTGTCACCACTATCAGATGCTAGAAATGGAAAAGGTTTAATTAGATTGTCAAATTCACTTCTACCTGCCAGGGTAAGAAAAACACAGGCTAAAAACTGATTTAGAAAATAACAATCACTGCTTTGTAACCTAAAGGCTTAATTAGAAGTTAAGGGAATTGCTGTTCCTTCCACGCACCCCACTTCAGACAGTTGCAAGTATGCTGAGCACCAACTGTGATGAATTTCAATGTGTACTGTTTCTTGAAGCAATATCCTGCCAGGCTGGCCTATATGATAACAAAATCTCAAATCTTGTTATTTAGAAGAACAAGAAACAGATTTCTGGGACATTCCCACTCTTCTAAAAGCTGCAGAGACCAGTTGGAAAAATCTAAAACAGCAGCCAACGGCAGAAAAGAATTTAATCTCCACCCTGCCTTGGGTTTTTCTCTTAGCAGCATAAGTGGCATGCAGAGGCTCACCTAGAAAAAGTAACATAGAGTGAAGATAATGAGAGCTAGTCAGAGGGCAAAGCATGCTTATGCCACCCATGGGTAGTTTTCCATATTAAAATGCTATCTGCCTTTATAAAAAGCCATGAGTTCTTTAATTTCTCACATAATTAATTCCTGCCAGCTGGTATGCAAAACAAAGACAAGATGGGGAAGAGTATTATCATGATAGATAATTCTATATTAACATTTTCCCTTAGCACAGTCCAATTTACAGTTTTCAAGTTAGGCAAATGATGTAAGACCAAGAGGTTCCAAATATTAATTTGAGAACCCTGCTCCAAAACTTACCACAGATTGTGAGGCCTTTGGAAGGATAAGTTTTTACATGAGTGAAATTTGGCTTTTGCTGCAGCAATTTCTTGGTTTCATATAGCACTTCCAAGACATAATAAGCATGAAGTATCTGTGAGGGGGAAGCAAAGGAAACAGATATAATGAACTAGGAAAAGAGTCACGCTGCATAGAAAACTGTAAAAGTGAAGCATGTGAGCACATTTTAAGATACTATATTTCAGGATAATCTTTAAATTGTTCTCAAATAGAATATTCTAATACAGTATCTGGCATGCAAAAAGCTCTCAGTAGGTATTTGTAATTGAATAAATGAATGGTTCTTTAGATGTTTATACTATCATGTTCTTCAGTGATATCCATTTGCAGAATGTTTCTGATTATTCTTGGTTCTTTAGAGCCCAGGAAATAATTAGGCTCACTTGTCCTAAGAAAATGTGCAGATAAAATAACAATAATAGGAAGGAGGAAGAGGAGGAGGAGAAAAGGAAAGGAGGCAGAGACTGAGAGGTGTTGTTTTATTTTTATCCAGTGTCCTGCTACCTGGAATTGAAAGTAGGTGTTGTTGAGCTTACAGGTCTCACATAGCAGCCAGACAAGATCCCAAGAAGCTCATGACTGCAGCCTCCCAGATGTGATTCCAATATTTACTGTATAGTCTTGAGAATGCTCAGAACAGCAAACATATTTATATAAAAGTCTAACTACAACACATCCCCCAAACCCCAAAAAATACTTAAATTGAGTCCCATGAATAACCATTCCATTCTTCTCCTCCAATTATAGTGTTGATGAGATCATTGTTTTGTAAAACATTTACTATTTTATCCTTTTAAAAAAAAGACAATGTGTCTCACCCCTTTAAAATTATAAAATATTCCAAATACATACTCCTAAAATGTAAAATAGCAACAATCGTATTAGCATACAAATTTAACAGATGTTAACACAACTTTAAAGTTCAGGACAATTTAGAACTATGCCCTCCAGTATGGCAGCCACTAGTCACATGGGGCTATCGGGTACTTTGAATGTAAGTAGTCTCGACTGAGATGTGCTATATGTGCAAAATGTGCGCTGCATTTTAGAATTCATAGGAAGGAAAAAAAGTAAAATGTCTCAGTAAATGTAACATGATCACATATTGAAATGATAATATTGTACACATTGAGTTACATAAAGTATTTTAATTGGTTTTCTTTTGTGTTTTTTAATATGACTACTACAAAGTTCTAAAAATATGGCTCAAGTTGTATTTGTATTGTTCCCAAGGTAGTTTAGGTTATTGAAGGCTGAGAGAGCAGAGCATATGAACATGTTGCTCAGATCCTGCTCTAGGTGTCAGATTGAGAGCAGGTGAAACCCTTTGAACTAACAGTGTCTCATAGTATCTTGAAATTTCCATTTTCAGAGCTATTAAAACTATTTTCTATCTAAGACCTCAAAATATATTATTTAAGTTTTGAGAATTTTCCTAATTAAATAATCATTTTAAAGAGACAGGAAACAGGATTTGTAGCAATGTGAGAATCAGAAAGAGAAGGGCTTTCAGGTATTGACTGGTGAGGGAAGACACATATTTCCTATCTATCCAAGACCTAATGGATTGCGAAGTCTTTTCCCCAAACACATTCTAAATCTATTCAATCCATAACTTGAATATAAACTTGAGTGTGAACTTTCCTTCAGCTAGATTTTCATGGAATAGGCAAAACACTTTTTTGCTGGGCATGGTAGTACATGCCTATAATCCTAGCACTGTGAGGGGCTGAGGCAGGAGATTCACAAATGTGACCTCAGCTTGGGTAACTTACAGACTTAGAGACCTTGTCTCAGGATAAAATTTAAAAAGAGCTGGGGAGGTACCTCAGTACAAAGGCCCTGGATACAATTTGGGCCTTTGTACTAAGGTATTTAATAGCTTATTTAAATTGCACATTTAATCTAATGATTCCCAATGCTGGCTTCAGTATTATCTTGTCATTGTACTTTTTCAGGTTCACTTGTAGTACTAGTTAGCACAATTTCTGTTCACAAATGTTGCTTTGTTTTTCGAAGTTAAATTAATGAATATTCTCTGACAATCTCTTACAACAACAGAGAACTCTTAATATTAAAATTAGATCTTTTAGGGCTGGGGATTTAGCTCAGCGGCATAAGCACCTGCCTTGCAAGCACATGGTTGTGAGTTTGATCCCCAGTACTGATAAAAAATAAATAAATAAATAAATAAAATTAGAATTTGTAATCCTCTTTAGGTGGGTTAAAATTACTTTGTTAATGTAGTACTTAAATATAAAGCTATCTCTCAATTGTATTAGTTATGTTTCTAACAAATGTTAGTCTAGTTAATTTAGATCTTGGTTTCTAGATTTATAAATATATTCAGGATAATTGCTTACTATATTCACATCTGTTTTAAGGCATAGAAAGAGGAAAAACTACTTTTAAAAAATATTTCACTTTTAAAAAGTAGCTTTTAAATCAATAAAAAACACTTTTTAGTTAAAATTGAAATTAACATTAAAAGCGGTAAAATAGTAAAAAGTAATTTTCTCTCTCCCAGACCTCTGTCCTCTAATCCTTATCACCAGAAACAGCTACTGTTAAAAATGTCTTGAGTATCTTTACCAACATATTATGAGTTTGCAAGCATACACAAATTAATAAAGTATGACTGCACAAGAATTTTCAAGTGTAGGTACAGATACATAATCCCTTAAATAAAATGTGGTATATCCATATAATGTAAAACTATTTGGCTAAAACAAGGAATGAAGTACTGTTAAACACAACAATATGCATGAACTCCAAAAAACATTTTGCTAGGTGAATAAAGCCAGACACCAAAGGCCACATAAGCTGTACAATTCTATTTACATGAAACATCTACATTAGATAAATCTGCAGAGATGGAAAGTAAATCCGTGGTTGTGAGGGGCTGGGGTAAAAGAGAGAAGGGAGTGACTGCTAAGGGTTACTGGGTTTTATTTTGGGGTAACAAAACACTTTGGCAGTAGAGTACTTGCTTACCATGTACAAGGTCCTGCATTTGATCCCAGCATGGCCAATTAAAAAAAAGTTTTGGAAAATAGCGGTGACAGTTGTATAACATTTTTAATGTACTAAGAACTACTAATTTATATACTTTAAATATGGTTACTATGATCAATTCTATATCACTTTTTTAAAAATAAAAATATAATCCTCAGGGGCTGGGGATTTAGCTCAGCGGCATAAGTGCCTTCCTTGCAAGCAGGCAGTTGTGAGTTCAATCCCCAGTACCAATAAAAAGGAAAAAGACAAAAAAAAAAAAAAAAAAAAAATATATATATATATATATATATATATATATATATATAAAATCCTTGATTTTTTTTGACAAATGGGAATATACTGCATGTGTTGAATTTTATTTTCCCTGAACAATATAATTTTTATATTTATAGAGTAAAAATTATCAATTTTTCTGTTATGGCTCTTTGGATTGATGTATGTTTTACCTCCTAAAATGTATTAAGCAGATTTATCTTAAACTCTGAGTCTAATCTAAATGTCATTATCTAAATACTCCACCAGTCTGATTTTATTATTTGTTACATGTCTCAATTTTCTTTCATGTATCTTGTATCCTCCTGGGTCTGGTTATATTTGTGTTGAGTTCCGGACATTGTATGTGTTAAACTGCTGAAATAATTTCAGGCCTATTTTCTTCCAGAGAGAATTTAAATATGCTGCTGGCAGACAGTGAGAAGAAACAGCTATCTAGGATGATCCCAATTCAGTTTCAAGATTTAGATGATGCAAAGTTGTGCTTCAATGCCTGAAGAGCCGATCTATTTGCAATTACTTTCACTCCTGGGGTTCTAAACTGAGAATGAAGGTTTGGGGATGATGGCAGAGAAAATGGTTGTATAGAGAGCTCCACAGTCCCACTACTTCACAGAAAGATTTAAAAATCTAGCAAGCAAGCTAGCAAGAAGAAAAAAAGAAACAAAGCTGTCAGAACCAAGTTTATAACAATCAAATAAAACTAAATCAAGGAAAACGAAACTTGGTGATGTGTCAGCATGAGCAGGAAGTAAAGACCAACACAGATTTGTAAATGGATGGCCCAAGAGAGAAGTGCCCCACATAGTGTTGGTCTAACAAAACTACTGAGAGAAGCTTATGTCTTTTTTCCTCCTCCTTCTCCTTCTTATTCTCTTTTTCCCTTCTTCTTCTTATGCTTCTGCTTCTACTTCTTCTTTTTTATTTTCTTCTTTCTTTTTTCTCTTTATCTTCCTCTTTTCCTCCTTCTCCTTTTTTAATGAATCATGGTGCTCAAAACACTAACTGAACACAAGCTAAAGGAACAGGGACTTCAGAAACCACAGACACAACTAGACCTAACAGACATTTATAGAAAAACTCATCCAACAACAGCAGACTTTATATTACTTTATATTACTTTATATACTTTATATTACTTTACTATAGAAAAACTCATCCAAGAACAGACTTTATATTACTCTCAAGTACATATAGAACATTCTCCAGAATATACCTAATGTTAGGTCACAAAAAAATCTTGCTAAATTTTAAAAACTTGAAATCATACAAACTATCATCCCTGACTACAACAGAATAAAACTAGAAATCAGTAACATGACCTACTAATAATGTATTGGGCTAGAAAAAGAAGACTAAACTAAATCTAAGAAAATAAGAGCTACACTAGAGATGAGTAAAACAGAAAGCAGGAAAGAAAACAGAATCAACAAAAGTTGGTTCTTCAAAAAGATCAATAAGATTAACAAACCTGTTCTCGACTAAGACAAAAATGCAAATAGCCAAAATCAGAAACAAAAACAAAGAGATTACCATTAACCTTAAAGAAATATTTTAAAAGATCATAACAGCAGAGCAGGGTGGAACATGTCTGTAATCCCAGAACTTTAGAGGCTGAGGCAAGAAGATCATGAGTTCAAGGACTGTCTGGACTATATAGTAAAACCCTGTCAAAAATGATTATAAAAGATACTGAACAATTATACATCAACAAATTAACTAAGTTAGATGAAATGGATAAATTCCTAAAAACACACAAATTATCAAAAATTACCAAGATAG